TTGGGTTTGATACTCAATATACTGGCAAAACCCTGGAAACATTTAAGCAGGGGAATGAGGCTGTGGTACGGACCTTAGGTCCATTAATATGGAGAGAGGTATGGTGACACATACCATTAATTCATCATTCAAAAGTTAGAGGCAAGAAAATTGGGAGATCAATGCCAGCTGTACTTACCTGTGACCTTGACACACAGAAACAAAACAAAGCAAAAACAAACAAAAAAATAATCCACCAGAAAACAACAGCAGCATCCCCCTGTCCCCTCCCCCCAACACCAACGGGGGTCATTCTGCATTCTTTGAGAAACTAAGAATGATAGATTAATAGTGAGGGTGGAATTCTCTACCTACTTATACACAGTCTCCACTACCCTAGCCAGGCGAGCAGACCACCATCAGGAGCTGGTTAGAAAACCTCAGCTAAGTATTAATCAAAGAAACATGTAATTTAATAAAAGAGATTCTTCCCAACTGGAAGCTATCATTAAATCATTTTCCAACAACCACGGGAATCCATAAAGAATGTCATCTTTTTATCTTTAAGTATTTATTTCTCCAGACTCAGCTATATGTTTTAGTGGGGAAAAATCACTTTAAAAATAGGGAGAAAAGCCTCCTTTTCTGTCTTTGCATGCGTTTTATGCACAAAAATATAATGCATTGTGACTAGTTCAAAGCATTCAACTCTTAAAAGAAAATTACATTTAAACATTTGAAAGAGCTAAGCAGTTAAATAAAGGCATATTATATATGGAGAAGAAAGAGGATGGGGAATTTAGTTAACTAAAGTCAGTACTATAGATTCACTATAAATTGTAAGATGCAAAGAACAGTTTAACTGTATAATTTCTGGTGAAAATTTTGTAACCACAGTTTTTGTGGAAAGGGGAAGGACAGAAAAATGAACCATATTTTCATATACTTCAATTATAAAATAAAAGGTATGTAATAAAAAAGAATAATCATTCTGGTAGATATTTGGATTAAACCAGTCACCCATTTACCAGTCCAAAATGAAAAAAAAGAAAGAAAGAAAAGAAAAAAAAAACCATGACACATCTCACATAAGAGCAAAATTTGAAAACAACATACACAACAAGAGAAGCATATGTAAATAATTTGTTGTCGAGGAAGTGCCTAAATATGCTAAGCGATTTGAAAGTAGAATTTGAACAATAAAGGTGAATTTTAATGTCGGGTATCATTTGAGAGGTTGAAGAGATGGCACCTCACTTCAGAGTGCTTCCTGCCCATGCAGAATATGGAAGTTCAATTCAGAACCCATGCTGGGTGGCTCCCAACAGCCTGTAAGTACAGCTCCAGAAAATCCAAAGACCTTTTCTGGCCTTCACAAGCACCTCCACACATGTGGCACACACCCACATACACACATATTCATATACACAATAGAAATAAAATAGTCCAGATGTTATTTTAAACATATTAATGGAAACTTTCAGGAAGGAACAATGTCTTTTAAAAATGATTCTATTTTTAAATGTTTTGATTATAAGTGAAGAGATACACATATTATTGATTGACTAAAAGTTATTTGAGGCATAGTAAGCCTTTTTATTTTTAAATGTTAGTGAGCTTTGTAACAGAACTGTATGTGCCTTTTGCTTTACATTAAAATGTAGCAATGTAACCATCAAATGAGACAGTAATCCCATGTCTCACAACCTCTTCAGCAACTGTAAAGTGTCCAAAACATTACTTTGGTTGTGTCATTGACCTTTCCTTATCTTTATGTGAAACCTCAGCCCATTTCTACTTGCTTGTTTGACTTCTTCACACAGTGATGAACACAGAGGCTCATATCAGGTGATGGGAAGGATGAGAGGTCAAGGGGAAAGGACACATGAGGCATGAGAGAGAAAGAGTGTCTTGTCAAGTTGTTGCAGACTACAGTGAGGGGGCAGGAATACTAGGGAGGTGGGAGATAGAAAAGGAGTAGAACCACAAAGATGCACTTTGTTCCAAATATAATGGATCTAAAACATTATTGTATACTGATAAAAAGCAATAACTTGAAAAAATCTACATGTCAACCAAAACTAATGTTAGCATGTTATTTTCCCTCAATTAATTAACTCATAAGCCACCACATGTAAGATCATAAGTTATCCATATGACAAGAATTTAAGGAGGATCCCTCTATATCAGTCCTTCTCTTTCAGCCTCTCTTATCCCTAAATATGCCAGATCAATCTATCTCTTTTGAGATTAACTATTAACATTGCAGTGTATAAGCTATACTTATTTATTTTAGTGCGCTCTCGAAAGTCTGCTAATAAGGTCTTAACTTTTCTTGACTCTTTATAATTCATTTTCCATGTAGAAGCCACAGTGATTTTTAACAGAACTATTAAAACTTCAAACTATAGAGACCTTTTCATTGCAGTTACAATAACCACCACACTCTTCAAGCTGGACCACATTGTCTGGTTCCTGTTAGCCTGTCTAATCCATACGCTCCCACCCAGTCCCATCCTCTGAATTCTCTCCTCTCAGAACACACAAAGCTCTTTCATATCCATGCTCTTTGCACTTAACCTCTCTCTGAAGGGATGACTTTTCATTTTGTTTTTTCTTGTTATTTCCCTTCTCATCAGGTATGTTTCTGCTTAAATACCATCTCTCCCCAGAGGGCTTTGCTCAGTACCTTATCTATTGTTGCCCCTCAGTCAAGCTATATCTTCACATCACCCAGTTTAACTCTCTAGAGTGCACTTGCTATGATCTCTTTATATTCTCATGGGATACATGACTGCTCTGGGAACACAGATATGATTATCTCATCACTTCTGCCTGCTCAGTCCTAGAGTAGGACCTGGTGGCCCTTCTCAAATAGTTAAAATTGTGTCCTCCGTTGTACACACATTTTCTCTTTTCCTACCTAATGACATTCCTTTCCAGGGGAGTTAGACTGACCTCTCAATGCAGCATATAGAGTCTCCAAGTTACTTGGCCATTGACTTAGAGACTTAAAATTATGGAAGAAAATGAGTCTTCTAATTCATAAATCCTTAAAGTGCCTTTAAACATTTTCCAAATATTTATATAATAACCATTGCCTGTGGTGAAAAAAACTGGAAAAGCAAAGCTGGAGTTGGCTTAGTTGGGAAGAATAGAACTGGAGGGTCTAGGGCATTGCTGTCTGGCTGCAGCCCTTCCCTTCCCGCTCTGTTCAGACATCGCTAGAACATCAACAGCAGATGCATTAGAGAGAACAAAGACCATGAACTCCACTCTTACCTTCATTTTCCTGCCTTAATTGTGTCATTGACTTCTGTATTTTTTAGATTTGTGCTGACTCTCCTTTTATGACCTTAAAACACAGATGAAAATGATGTCTCAGATTACAAAGGAGGGTGATGAGGTAAAAATGGGGCAGAGATAAGATACATGAGTTATAAAACAGGGGAATTTTATGTGTATGTATATATACACATATATGTGTATATATATTTCCACCTAACAAGTTCATTTGTCAGCAAGGAAAACTGCTTTGAGGGAGGAAGATTATTTTTGCAGCATGTGTGTAAAGTGTGCATAATAAGTCATTTAAATCAAGGTTATATGTTGTCTGGAGGCAATTATTCTCTTTCCTATTTGTCAAATGTAAAAAGCCAATTGTAAGCAGTTTTGAACTGTTATTTTGTTGCAATTATGCACTCCTTTGACAAAGGATAATGATTTACTTTACAAAGAAGGTGCTGCAGGGTTGCTATATGGAATTTATAGTCTAACAGGGAGAAATAATTAACCAAACAGATACACAGGAGAGGGAGGGAGGTAGTCTGATGTGAATGGGCTCATCCAAGGATTGATATATGCATTTAAAGTTCTTTGTAATCACTTTAGACCCATTTGCTAACATCTGGACATGATATTCACCCTGATGCAAATTTAATTTTGACCTCTGTTCCCTGTCCAATGAGACTTCTTCAGAAAATAGAGGCAGATGGCACCACTATCCTTTAATGTTATTTAGAAGTTGACATTAAGTGTATAGAGGCCAGAAAGGGTAAGACAAAAGTTTCCATTAATGAGCTCAGGCCCAGGAGTAAAGCATGGGAAAGTGCTAGGCAGCATCTGAGTAGCACACTGTGAATGTGCTGGGATACTGCATGGGTGAGGCTGTTTTCAAAGACATCATCAGGCATCAGTCAAGAGGTTAGTTATGACACAGTGTGGAATGTACAGTACAATGAGAGATCCTTCCGTTGATGTGTTTTGCTCAGTTTTATGGCCAAGCTGAGGTAGATATTTGTTTATTTATAATTAGCTGAAAGATAAAGATCTTTCTTATTTATTTCTACTTGGGGCAGGGTGCTGTTATGTAGCCCTGGCTGTCCTCAAGTTCCACTTCTCCAATACTGGGATTATGGGTGTGACCATGATGGCAGGCTGATAAGAAAATATGTTTTTGTTTTAAGTGAATAACTTTATAGCACCGTCGTAATCAGTCTCCCCAGTGATTATTTTATGTTGAGTAGCACATGATTTTGTACTAGGCAAGGAGCAGGCAATGAGGAACAAAGGATCACAATAAGAATAACAAGAAGGGACACACCGACTCTGGGGTGCCAAGTAGAACTGTTAGAATTTTCTGTCCTTCCCAGTTTCTTTCCTTTCCTGGCAGGCGTTTGGGTGGCTGGCTGGTTCTACTTAGCAATCTTTGATGCCTTTCCTGTAGGCATCAGTATTTTCCACTGTGTCAACACCAAACTCTTTGGGCTTGCTTTAGCTTCCCATTGTATGTCCCAAAAAGCTGGGATACTTGCCCTTACAGAGGAATCACTGTTTTTCTAACGATTGATAAAATCTGATAATTTCCATCACTAATTGTGTGGCTCTCCTGAAAATAATGAAAGGTCTCATTACCGCCCATGTGTGTCAATGCCTGGGCTTGCTGTAATGGGAGCAGGCATTCCTTGCTTTGCAAATAATATTTCAAGTAATTGAAATTTGCATTCACTATTTTTTCTCAGATTCTTATGACGTGACGTTTGATTTGGAAAAACTTGCTGACCAGTTTCTTCACACCTGACTGGAAAGATGAAAGATGTTCCGGTATAAAATTATTCTTTACATCCTAAATTCAGTGACCACTCCCTGAGCCTTTTTGCTCATTGAATTCTTTTCTGAGCCAAGACATTAAACTCCCACGCCTCATCATGATAGTCACAACTTGTAGTCCCGGTCAAGTCTAGACAGGATGAATGCTGAAGCTCTCTTCTGTTTTATTTCCAGAGAGCCTTTCGTGTTCTTTACAAATACAGTCACTGCCTCTGCTCTCCTCCTCCTCGTTCCACTGTGCTTATGCCAGTGGACTTTACCTCCTGATTTGCTACTTACTCTAGAACTTTATTGAAGTTATTTGTGCTTTCATCCAGATTCTGCAAAACAAAACAAAACAAAAACAGTTCAAATTGTGAAAGAATGTACAATGTAGCCATGAGCACAGTTTTGTTTTTTTTTTTTTAGTAAATGGGAAATTAATAGAAATGTTTTAATCTTAGAGTGAAAAATAGCACTTGTTCTGAATATAATTGGTAGTTTATCATTTGTTTTCAATACTGCAACAGTTATAGCATATTTTGATGTGTTAAAAATACCAGAGTGACTCATTTCTATTTTCTCTTATTTGTATTAACATGTGACAATTTACATATTAATGAGGCCCAGTGTTACATTTTCATCAATGTATGTATGTGGATGGTTCAAATAGAAACTGCTCTTGGACATCAAACCAAATCACGGTCAGGATGATTATCTTCAGATTCTGCATGGCAATGTGTCTAGCTTACTTCAAGTATCACAGTATCTTCCAGTTTCATACATTTATCATAAGGGATAAAAAGTCTCTATTTAATGACCAGACAACATCCCATACATATATCAAACATGTTAATGCATTCATCTGTTGCTGGTCACCTAGGTGGATCCCAAACCTCAGATACTAAGAATAGCCATGCATAAACACAGACATTAATGAAGGCGTGTCTTTGGAATGTTTATTTACTATCCTTTGGAACATACCAGGAACAGAATAGGAGGGTCACATGGGTTTCTGGTTTCAGGGGGATCTTCTGTATCTCCATTATGGCTGAAATAATTTATACACCAATGACTTTCCCCTATTACTCCTCTGCTTATGGACATATATTTTACAAGAATACATGTGTACTGTGTGTATGTGCGTTCCTGTATATGTGGCTGCACCTTTGTGTGAAGGTGCATGCATGTGTGTGGGAATCAGAAGTCGAGGCTAGTTTTTCTGGATTGCTTTATCCACGTTATTCAGGGACTCATTGGTGTTTGATTTCTCAGTTGAACACAAGCTCGCACATCAAAAAAGCACAGCTATCCACTTTGCTCTGGGGAATCTGGCTCCACCTTCCAAGTGTGGATATACAGGTGACCCTCACGCTTCTCGGCAATGACATGGATCCTGGAGATCTGAACTTCAGTCCTCATGCTTGCCTAGCATGCTTTACTCACTAAACCATTCCCTGGCCCTTGCCTACAAGTAAATGTGTATGTTTATACAACTATATGCAATATATATATATATATATATATATATATATATATATATATATATGTGTGTGTGTGTGTGTGTGTGTGTGCATAATAGTCATTCTAACTAAAGAAAAATAAAATCATGTTGTAATATTAATATGCATTTCTTTGGTTAATAATGTCGAACATTATGAATATAATATTTGTATTTGTCATTTTTTCCCACTGAGAAATACCTATTTAGAACAGTTGTCCATTTATAAATCAGACTGTGTTTTCTTGTTATGGTTTTAGTTTTCTTTTACATTCTACATATTAACTGTCAGGTGAAGAGTTGACAAATGTCTTCCATTTGTAGGTTTTAGTTTAGTTTTTTTATGATAAATATAAATTTATTAAAAGGATAATAGCTCTTTTGGCAACCATTTTTTTCTTTGGAAGACTGCATACATTTACATTGGATTATTTAGTGTTGTCCAGGAACAAAATACAATTGTTATTTCTTTTTTTTTATTATTATTTTATTTTATTTTGCAATACTATTCAGTTCTACATAACAGCCACAGATTCCCTTGTTCTCCCCCTTCCTGCCCCCTCCCCTT